CTCTCTCTCTCTCTCTCTCTCTCTCTCTCTCTCTCTCTCTCTCTCTCTCTCTCTCTCTCTGGTTCAGGTTGTTAGGACAACGTGGAGTGCCATTCTTTCTTGAAGTTCAACTTTGATTTTTTTGATTGGCTTTCATTTCATATTGGATTTTACATGGAATTATATTATCGAGCTAGTTTGAGACACTCAACTTCTTTCTTTTCAAATGGTGAGTCTCATTTTGGCTGTATATGTGCTATACCATAAATCATGTGACATATGTGGATAGGTTTCTTATTAATATATGCTCCATTTTTGTAGTTGATGTTTGGTGGTTTAATTATGGCATTTGTAAATTGCGTTGAATTGAGTTAAAGGCTTGACACTCCTTTTGGACCATGTCCAAGGTGTGAAGATTCTATCATGGTAAAAATTTATGTTACAAAAGAATTGCCAAAGTGATGCAATAAGACCCTACAATTTTTAAAAAATTTTAAGAATTTTATTAATATTCAAAAAAGCATGTGGCCACGCCGGCAAACGTAGAAATGTGGGCCCCTTAATAAATTTATTTTTGAACTAGAATTCTATCCTAATTTTAAGAGAATTTACAATCTTTAGCATGGAGATCATGAATAAATAAAATTTTAAAACTAAAAATAATAATTCTATTAAAAAAACATTTGGACAGTTAGTTTCAATTGTTTTTATATGGACCACCTATTGGCATCCATCTTTAAGATGGATGCTTTACACCTCTAGACGGCATATTGTACAAATGCGGTCCAGCCGCATAAAACAATTGTTCTTAAAAAAATATAGGAGAATATTCGCTTAATAAATTTTCACCAATATTGTTGAGATCAAGGTAATCAATTTCATAAATTTAACAATGGAATTACAGTTTCTATTAGGATTTAAGGTGCAGTTTTGATGTTTCTTTGATGAAGGCTAGGCCTGATATATTTTACTTTCTTTGTCAGGGCTTGGCCTTCCTAACCTTTTTGTTTCTTAATTATATGCGCATTATAAGGTTTCAAAACAGCCGATCTATGAAAAATAACGGGCGTTATTGAGCTAGCTAGCCCAACCCATCATAACAACCTTCTCCTGTGCGTTTTTGAGCTGCGCCTCACATCTACAGGCTAAGTTTGACGTTTTATATAAAATTTTTCATTCAAAATACTATGATATTTTTCATTACTTTCCACATTTTGCTCGATCAAGGCAAAGCATTGGTATTAATTATATTTCTAAACATTGTATGAAGATAAGAGTCACTACGGGTTCAGACAGTGGTTATCAAAACATCTAGGAGGCTTTGCAGTGATCAGCCAGACTCGGCTACGTACCATAGTCGCGAGATCTTGGATGCTAGATGGGTCGATTTAATTTTTTCTTTTAACAAATGTTACTATCTTTATTGAATACTAAGAAACAGAAATTACATCATTAGCAATGACAAGGGAAGGTAAAGAGGAACCACCCTTAGCCAGAGCATCAGCTACAAAGTTAAATTCTCAAAAAACATGAGAGAAGGAGACCAATAAAGGGGAAACAAGATCTAAGATCTGCAACCATAATGGCCAGAGTTCTCATGACATGCGCTACTCCTTGTTACACCATTTAATAACATTAAGTGAATTCCCTTCAATCCAATAATTGTTACCACAATTCCTTACAGTAAAAATTTTCAAACCTTCAAGTAACGCTCTTAATTCCACATAATTAGCTGTTGCAACATCAATTAGTCCAACATAGGAAAAAATAATGTTACCCATATGAACACGCACCACTCCCTTGATTCCAGCTAAACCAAGATTGCCGAGAGAACTGCCATCAAAGTTGAATTTCAAAAAACCTGTTTTAGGCGCAATCCATATATTTTTCAGTCTATAACTAACCCAACCAAGAATAAAGAAATTGTGTAAGTTTACCATAACATCTAATTTCAAGATATCACATCCCTCCTTTAACACAGAAAGCTACGACCATATTAAGCATTTGATAGTATAAATTAGTCTGTCAAAACCCATAGAAATTTATTCACATGTCCTCGTATTTCTTTCTTTTCAAACCTCCCTTAGGATCACACCTTTAGCAATCTTCCATAAGGCCTTACCTACATTGGGTAAATGAGGAAGAGATAATTGTGAAACTGTCCCTTCCACCAATTGAGGAAGTGCTAAGCTGATACCTAAAACACCGAACAACCAATACCAGATTCTCACCGTAAAAGAATAATTGATGATACCAGATTCTCACCGTAAAAGAATAATTGATGAAAATGTGAGCACCAGATTCACCATCAGCTTTGCAAAGAAGGCATATATTAGGTAAAAAAATTTCCCTTTTAGACAGATTATCAATGGTCAAAACTTTATTCATAGTAGCCAACCAGATGAATGCTTGTACCTTGTGGGGTAGTGGCCGCTTCCAAATATGAGGGCATGACCATCTCTATTGATCATGAAAGAATAGACTATAACAGGATTTGAAAGTTAAAACACCATCACTTTCAATCACCCAAACCAACTCATCCTTGGCATTCTGTGAAACATAGACCATATCTAGCATTTCCATAAGAGAGCACCATTGGGAGAGAAGGACATTTTTCAGTCGGCTCTAGGCCAACTAAATGTTCCACGAGAGATTATTGCCCCTTCTATAGATAGGTCGATTTAATTGTCTCCCAAAAAGAGATCTACCTGCCATAGTCACGACACCTAATCATTGGAGGGATCTACGATTCATATCAAATCGTTGGAGGGATCTACGATTCACATCAAATCGTTGGAGGGATTACAAAGTCCAAATAACAATGGTAAGTAGTAATGAGAGTGGCAAGGGGGGTCAGGGTACCGTTGTGTCTCGCTATCAGGGTTCACTTGGCGAAAAATCCGAGTAAGGCGAAAAAGCTTTGACTTTTAACTTTTAAATTGAAAAAATCATATGCTTGTTACTGAAAAATATAAGCACACATATATGTTTACGCACTTCAATTTCATGTTTTACAAAACTTCAAGACATGGTATTATTCTAATATGAGAGTGTGGGCATACAATTATAGAGAGAAAGAGGTTTCAAGTAGAGATACAAAAGGATTTTTAATGTGACTGCATTCTTCATAATATTAACATCTTAGAGATCAGGAGCTTCACATCCTCTTAGTTCATTTACCATCCCACAGTCAACATGCATATTTTTTGATATATCTTGCACTTAAGCAAAACCAAAAAACCATTATCAAGCAAAAAATTGAGAAAAAAAATATATCGAGCAAATGATCATATTCATCCAAAAATATATTCCTATCAAAAAAATGTAATTTTATCAAAAAACATAATTTTATTAAACAAAATAGAAAAATACTTCTCATATTCATCGTAAAACATAATTTTATATGCGAAATATTTTTTTTTTTAGAAATATCGATTTCTCAAAAACCCCTAAATCGAGCTCCAAATGTCGAATTTTCAATAAACTTAGGAGTTCAATAGTCTGAACTTCTCTATCATCTAAAAAAGCCCCTCATTTTGATCAAGAAAAATAAAAAACGATGCCATAATCTGTAGTTTGGCGGATTTTTCCCGAAACATTGAAGAACATAAAAAAAAAATGGGGGTAAGAAAAATTGGTTTTCGTTGAGTTTTTGTTCTCAAATATGTTCTTTTGTTGAATGCAATCAATAATTTCAGTCAAATATTATCTGAAAAATCCTAAAAGAGGAAGAAAAAGTAGTAAAAAATTCAAAAAAATTTGGGATAAAACTTACATTGTTTTCTTCTAACTCAAATAAAGCC